GCCTTGTTCGTTTTTCAAGTGGCCATGTACCGTCTTTTCGAGTCGTTTGATATTCTTCCTGATGTGGTCTCTGGGCATTCTCTCGGAGAAATTGCAGCAGCTCACATCTCTGGAGCTCTGTCTCTCCGCGATGCCGCCGTCATCATCACCGCCCGGTCCAGACTCATGGCCGCCCTCGATCCCAATGGCGGAATGGTGAGCATCTCGGCTACCAAAGAAGAGGTTTCCCAAGAATTATCACGTTTGGGTAGTACCGCCACCATTGCAGCGGTCAACTCGGAGAAATCCATCGTGGTCTCTGGTACTCGAGAAGCCATCAATGCAGTGGCAGACAAATTTTCCGAATTGGGACGCAGAAACACGGTACTGCGAAATGTCAATCACGGCTTCCACTCGCCCATGATGAATGACATACTTCCCCATCTCGAGAGCGCCCTGACATCAAGAATAGAAGCGGGAAAATCAGTCATACCACTCATCTCGACCGTCACGGGCAAGCGCATCGATGCAGCTCAGCTCGGCTCTTCCTCCCACTGGACACGCCATGTCAGCGAGCCGGTTCTGTTCGCAGATGCCGTCAAGGAGCTTCAATCCAACGAACGCGTCTTAGTCTTTGTGGAAGTCGGTCCTTCGGCAATCCTCTCCCCACATGTTCCGGGTACCGTTGCCACACATGGCACAGTCGGCAAGCTCTTGAATACGCTGGGCCAGCTCTGGTCTCGAGGCGTGCCAGTGAATTGGCAGGCCGTATTTGGTGGTGTAGGTGCGAATCTCGTCGACCTACCCGTCTACGCTTTCCAAAGACGTAAATATTGGCTGCCATACAGAACGCTGTTGCCGGCGGAAGCTCTTGGATCGGCAACTTTGCGTCAAGCGCAGGTTGTGGGTGCTTCTTCATTGGACCATGGCGTTCTCCTCAGCAGTACAGCCATTGCTGGGACTGGTGACATCATTTGCTCTGGATTCATATCAACTAGCAGACAGCCCTGGCTTCGCGACCACGTCATCAGCGGACAGAGCCTCGTTCCTGCCACGGCTTTTGCCGAAATGGCCCTGCGAGCGGCACGACAAGGCATCGCACCTGACTCTGAGACGGCTGTATTGGACGAGTTGGTGGTTCTTGCGCCCCTGGCCTTGTCCTTGGAGGACGAGGAAGAGCAAGAGTACGAGGTCCAGGTCATTGTCCGGGAGCTGGAGGATGACGGCGCTACACGCAAAAGCGTCGACGTGTATTCGCGCCAGCATGACATGGCCACGAGACATGACTGGATACAACATGCCACCGGGACTGTCAAGCTGATTTTGCTGCCCCAAAAGGATTCGCTGACAAATGGCACGCACGCAGAAACCGACTCGGAAGTGGACATTGACAAGGCGTATACCGTCCTGAGCGAGTACGGTATCAACTATGGTCCCATCTTCCAGGGCGTACAGGCTACTTGGCGTCAAAATGACGAGCTTCTAGTACAAATCCATCCTCCAGAGGCTTCCAGCTTCATTCTCCACCCAGCTCTTCTCGATGCTGCACTGCATGCTCCCATCCTGGCAGCACCGGAAAAGATTTCTAGTGGCCAGATTCGTCTGCCATTCTCCTTCAAAAACGTACAAGTTTTTCCAGCCGCCAGCAGTACCTCGGGGCCAATGTTGGCACGCATTCGTGACTTGGACGAGGAGCGATTCTCAGTGGTTCTGACAAACAAACTCACAGGTGTACCGGTAGCCGAGATATCCGAGGTCACGCTACGCGCAGTCCAGCCTCCCGTCGTCGAGGGTAACTTATACCGCCTCAAGTGGACTGAGCTCAAGTCTGGCTCGACGACGAGAATCGGTGACGCTGATCAGATATTTGCCATTCAAGGCAAGCGCAACGTGGCCGCAGCACAAGTTCCCACCGCTGCTCATAATGCAGTCGCAGATGCTCTCCGTGCGGTCCAACAGTGGAGGGCGTCCAAGACGAGTTCTGTCAAGAGCCGACTCATTTTTGTCACTGAACAGGCTTCCTTGCACCCTCAAGTCAATGTCATTGATGCCGCGGTTTGGGGCTTTGTGAGATCAGCCCAAGCAGAGTTTGGCGGTGAAAACATCATCCTCATTGACTTGGATGGGTCAGCGGAATCCCACGAGGCTCTTTCGGGAGCCTTTACTTGTGGACAGGAAGTCGTTGCTTTGGAAAAGGGCAAAATCATGGTCCCTACACTCAGCAAAGATCCCCCGGTGCCCACCACTTTTGCCTCGACAACACTCGACGTCAGTGGCACCGTCTTGATCACTGGCGGCACAGGAGGTCTCGGTGCCATACTCTGTCGACACTTGGTCCGCACACACGGAGCAGGCAATCTGCTTTTAACAAGCAGGTCGGGCATGGAGGCTGCGGGCGCGCGTGCATTGCTTGATGAACTGAGCAGTCAAAACAGGGCAGTCGTACGCATCGAGGCATGCGACGTCAGTGACCGCCAACAATTGGCCGCACTGCTACAAGGCAACCAAGGTCATCCACCCATCACCGCCATTATCCACTGCGCAGGCGTGGTAGATGATGGAGTCTTAGGCTCGCAAACCACGGCCCGAGTGTCTCGTGTCCTTCGACCCAAGGTGGATGCCGCCTGGAATTTGCACCAGCTGGCTCCCGACACGACGCGATCGTTTGTGCTCTACTCGTCATTCGTCGGTGTCATTGGTAATGAAGGTCAGGCCGCGTACACGGCAGGGAATGCTTTCCTGAATGCGCTCGCTCGCTTGCGAGTATCGCAAGGGCTGCCCGGTCTGTCGTTGGCTTGGGGCCCCTGGGCAAACGATATTGGCATGGCTGCCGGGGACAAACTAGTGATTCCCAACCTCCGGATTGCCAGCGCTCATCCAGTGGTCGACCAACAAGGACTGCATCTGTTTGACCGAGCTCTGCAGACGTCGGAGCCTGTGCTCGTGCCACTGCTTCTACGTGGGCCATTCCCAATGGTGCCTTCGGATACAGCATCCAAGAAGACTCCCGCCAACGGCAGAGCAAAGACGGTTGCAGCTTGGCGTAGAAAGCTTGCCGCAGTGGCACCAGAGAGTCGTCAAGATACTTTGTTAGGTCTGGTGCGAGACGAAATTGCTGCTGTACTTGGATATCAAGGCCAAGAGTTGCCAGACGGGCCCTTGTCCGACCTCGGTTTCGACTCTTTTACTTCAGTCACTGTCAGTAACAGATTCAGGGTCCTGACTGGCTTCCGTGACCTTGCCGTCACACTGGCCCTCGATTATGATACTCCCCAGGCCCTGGCGCAGTATCTCTTGGAGCGACTGGATGCCGATCCCGATTCGGAAGCTGATTTGGACTCCCCTCTTTCCGAGACCGAAACCGTTGTTGCAGAAAACGGCAGCGAAAATGGCAAACCCAACGGAGATCACAATGGCACTCACAATGGCGACCCTAATGGCATTACCCAAGACGTTGATCCCGAGGACTTTCGAGGACTGGCCACACTGCACAGGCGACTTTGTATGCTCGAACAGTACACTGCAGCGGCTGATCTTCTGGCCTCTGCCGCTCTTGCCATGCCAACCTTTCCCAAGGACGGCCGTAGCCTTTCAGACTACATGGCGGACCCTCAGCGCCTCGCTACTGGTCCTGCCGGCATATCCGACGATGCACCCTTGCCCGTAGTCTTCATTGCCCCATTCTTCCCGCGCATCAAGATTGGCAACATGTCGCTCAGCGTATACAGCGCAGTAGGGTCTGCTTTGAACGGAAAGAGGGACGTATTCGAGCTTCCACACCCAGAAGGACAATTCGTCCCCGAGGACCTTGACACGCTTGCCGAATTGCATGCAAATGCCATTCAGAAGCAGTTTGCGGACAGGCCGGGAATCATACTGGCAGGGTATTCCGCCGGAGGCACTATTGCATATGCCGTGGCGTCCAAACTGGCTTCAAGTGCAAGTCACCCTCGGCTGGCTGGCTTCGTCCTGGTGGACACATACCTAACCATGACGGGACGGGGCGACCCAGATTGGTTGAACGCCCTGCCAGCTGAAGCTCTCGTGTCGCGTCTAGGGGGTCCCAAGGTTGGCGGCCCCGAAAGTATGGGGGCCGAGAGTCTTGTCGGAGACTTGGATCTGGCATTGGCCAAGGTGGGCGGTTATTTCAGGACTCTGCGAGACTGGGATCAAGATCTGTATCCTTTGCCTGACCAACTATCCACCCTTTTTGTCCGCGCCTTGGATCCATCAGAAAAGATGCCCAAGGACGCGGATATCTGGCGCCCCAAGTGGAAGCGAGCAGATACCACGGTTGAAGTCCCCGGAAGTCATCTGGCACTTCTCGACAAACGATTTGCCCCTGCCATTGCTGTCGAGGTCGAACGGTGGGCCAAGGAGAGCTTGGGGGTTTGAAGCCGCACTTTGTAGACAATCATTAGATAGACTGACGTGGTAGGAATTTGTTGCATAGATGGAATAACTATAACTGTTGACTAGACACTTGAAATCTTCAAGCGCTGGTGCTGTAGCTGTGAAAAGGATTGTCACCTGGAGCCCGACGCTATTCAGGCTTTGGCTAGCATGCACGGTCGAGCGTGAGCATTAGGCAAACCACATGCTCTTGATGAATTCCATCAATCTAGTCTATAATAAAAGCGTCACGATCCACATCAGCGGCCCCGCTGGCTCAATGGTAGAGCATTAGGCTTCTAGTGTTGTTCTTAACAAGTAACCTAAAGGTTGCGGGTTCGACCCCCGCGTGGGGTTATCCAGACTTTGATAATGCAAAGTTTCTGTTTTTTGTCCCATTTCGCAAGTGCAAGGTCAATTTTTTTTGGTCCTGTTTCTTAGCCGTATTGCGTATGTTTATAACCTGGAGCCAGGCCATGCAAAACCCATCCCGCAAAAGTGGGGACGTCGACAGCGACGAAAAGGTGTTTCACTGCTGGCCGCTTTATAGGATGGAAGACGTATGTGTTCGATACCGACTATACAAAGAGATAGAATAATCAAAAGATTAAAGGACAAAAAGAAGCTTGAACCCCACGCGGGGGTCGAACCCGCAACCTTTAGGTTACCTATTGATAGAAATCAACACTAGAAGCCTAATGCTCTACCATTGAGCCAGCGGGGCTAGTTGCTGATGAATAGGTGTCTTATCCACACTGATGTTAGCTTTCTATGCTCCGCATCAAACTAATCTTGAAAGCTCCACTATTAAGAACGAGTTGTTCTGAGTACTGGTATCTAAATGCCTTTCATGTTGATTAAAATTGCTATATAATCCCAGCTTGCCAGTCCGCTACCTAGCCTAGCTGTGTACGGCCCAATTCAACACCACCCCGTTGGCAGAACAAAAGCTTGGATGTGGTTCCCGTTGGCAGAGCCTGGAGGAATCACTACATATGCCGCTTGCCCGTCCACTTTTTGCCATCGTCCAGTAAACGCTCCGTCTCTTGATTGTTTCCTAGCGGCCTCTGATCAAGCTTCAAAACGTCGGACATCAAACGTTTTGATGTGACGAAACTGTATGATCCATGGACGACGAGGACTAGCCGGACACTACGATTACTGGCCGAATACAAGTCAGCTGTTCTGGAATGCAGTCTAATACATTTCACGGCTGATCCGCGGCTCTCTTTCATCAACGCCAAGGATAAAACTATGCGCGCCATACGGAACTCTCCCGAATTCTCCACACAAGCTGCCGAATGCCCGCCGGCTTCTCCGATTATAGTCAAGCCGATCCGGAGTTCAGCCTGTGGTATGCCGAGATGAAGCCGGCGGAGATCACGATATATCAAGAGTCCCGGTTCCTTTCTTGTTCGCTCTGTTAGATGAGAACCTGTTCTTCTCTTGCAACAAGCCACCTTGAGACCCGTCGAAACTGATTACATTTACTCCATTCCTATAAAGATCACAAGAATTCGACAAAATGGTCTACCAGAGACTCTCAGCGACCGACCCATCGCTGCCACACCTGGTGAGGAACGAAAATGGCATCCAGCTCATCGTCAAGGGCAAGCCTTTTCTCATGCTCTCTGGAGAACTGCACAACTCATCCCTGAGCTCCGCCAAGTTCATGTCCCAAGTATGGCCGGCCATGAAGGCACAATTGATCAACACGCTCGTCGGATCCGTGTCGTGGGAAATGATTGAGCCAGAGGAAGGCAAGTTTGATTTCTCGGAACTCGACGAGATTCTCAAGGGCGCCCGCCAGCATTCCATGCATCTGGTGCTTCTCTGGTTTGGTACGTACAAGAACGGCATCTCGACCTATGTTCCCGGCTGGGTCAAGAAAGACGTCAAGCGCTTCCCACGAGTGCACGTGCTGGAAGCCGGCGGCGTCAAGCGTACCATGGAGATGCTATCGCCATTGTCCAAAGAAGGATGCGCGGCAGACTCGAAAGCCTTGGCCGCGCTCATGGGTCACCTGAAAGAGGTCGACTCGGAGGAGAATACCGTTGTCATGGTGCAGGTCGAGAACGAGACCGGGCTTCTGGGGGACTCGAGAGACCGTTCCTCGATTGCCGAAGAGGCGTTCCAGCAGCCAGTTCCACCTGCCCTCCTAAAACACTTGACCACGACGGAGCTGCACCCCCGCTTCAAAGAGCGCTTTGCAGACAAACTCGCGGCAGTCAAGGACATTGAGAAATCATATTCATGGGAGACCATTTTTGGCGACGGCGTTCCAGCCAACGAAGCATTCATGGCGCATCATATCTCAACCTACGTAGGCAAGGTCGCAGCAGCAGCAAAGGCCGTCTACAATATCCCCCTGTACACCAACACCTGGCTCAACTTTGACGATCCCTCGGCCCTCGACCTGACGGACCTGCCCGTCGTGGTGGGCGGCGGCGCCGAAGCCGGCATCTACCCGTCCGGCGGCCCATGTCCCCATGTGCAGGACATTTGGCGGCACAATGCGCCGGCGCTCGACTTCTTGGCCCCGGACCTGTACTTTCACGGCTACGAGGGTGTCTGTCGGGACTATACCGCCTACGACGACAACCCGCTCTTCATCCCCGAGCAGCGTCGCGACGAGAGCGGTGCCCGCCGCGTCTGGCTCGCCTACGCCACATACTCGGCCTTGGGGACTTGTCCGTTTGGCATCGACACGGGCGCCGAGGTTGTCGGGCGCGAGTACAAGCTGCTGGCCCAGACCAAGGATTACCTGCTCAACAGCCGCCCCGAGCAGCGCATGGGATTCTTTTTTGACGAGCTGCCCGCATCGGGGCCGCCAAAAGGTCAAGAGAAATGGACCAAGGTCTTTGGCGACGTCGAGGTCATTATCGAGCGGGCATTCGTGTTTGGCAAGGCGGGCCCCGGCGCTGGCATGGTGATTCAGCTTGGAGATGGTAGTTCCGCGCGCTTCTTGGTCGTCGGGCGAGGCTTCAACATTCATTTCAAGAGTCAGGTCAAAGGTGCGACGTTTACAGGGATACTCGACGCACGAGAAAAAGAGTACGATGCCGAGACAAATTCACTCAAGACCCTGCGCGTCTTTAATGGCGACGAGACGAGAAGCGGTGAATTTCTCATCATGCCCAACGACGATCCAGACTATGGTGGCTTTCCCATTGCAGTAACTGTACCAGCACGAACGTGCATTGCAGAAGTAGAAGCCTACTGGTTGTGCGAGGATGGGTCAGATCTCTAAATGTAAACAATCAATTATATACTGCCAGTGATAACTCCTTGATATCCAATGTAGTCGCGCTTGTATCCAATGTCACGCAAAAATCATACTCCATGGCTGAAGCCCCATATTATGCCATGGACATTTACATGTCCATTTTTCGTAACCGTCTTGATGCTGTCGCCGGAATGCATTATATTATGTAGTTCGTCCGAGCACACTGTGCTCCAGGGAATGCGTAAGAGCTGCCAACCTATAGTTGACCAGACAAAAGAGCTTCGGTAGCTAAAATCATATTAGTACAAGATACTTATTCAAGACAGGTAACATACCATTGTTTATGTATGCCCTTCTCGATTCGAGAGGAACATTGAAGCGTCTCTCAAGCTCTTGCTTGATGCCCTTCTTGGTAACAGTCATCAAATCAGCTGTACGCAGGATTTCGCGAATCTCAGCCAGTAAGGCATCGTCGCTCGGTATGCCAGACAGATTGGCCATTTCCATTTCTTGCGGGTTGTTGAAGAACTGCGAGCCGCCATACTGACTCATGCGGTTGCCCATCATCTCAGACGGGGCGAGTGACATGCGAGACATGTGCCCAGCACCACCCATGTTGTAGGGAGGGATGAGGCCGTGGGTAGAGCCATTGTGGCTGCCAGCATAGTACTCGGTGACAGCGGCGCCCTGCTTGGTTGCGTAGCTGTAGCCCGAGACCTCGGAACGCGTGTCGTCGCGAGCAGTCTGAGCATCCCAGAGCTCGGCCTGGTACTCCTCCCACTTCTTGCGGGGAATAGAGGCCGGATCGAATTTGCCCTCGTCGGTAACGACCACCTTTTTGCCCCTTTCGCCAGCAACAACACGGGTGTTACCCCAGTTGAAGTCGTCCATGTGCCAGAAAGAATACAATGGCAGACCAAAGGAAAAGACGGGAATGGCAAGGATATACAGAATCATCCAGCCAATCATTTCCCACTTTCGGCGGAAAATAAAGATCAAGGCCTGCAGACCATAAATGGCACCAAGCATGATGAACGCTGTGACTGGGATAATAGTAGACTTGGTGGCCACCTCGACAATGAGGTATGCAATGTAGGCAATCGTTACGGGCTGGACAACGGTCGAGAGCAAGTCGACAAAGACAATGAAGCGCATACTGAAGCAGCAGAAACCACAGAGCTGAGCCATTGGTATAAGCTCCATCAGATTGTGCACAGTAGAGTTGATCCATCGACGACGCTGGGAGAGGAAAACCTGCCAAGTATCGGGCGCAATGGTCCAGGCATGGGCTCGGCTAATGTACTTTGTCTTGTACTTGCTGTGGAACTTGAGCAAAAGTGTCGTCAGGTATCGATCCTCACCAAGGTGAAGCAAGTTCTTCATGTGCAGAGTGTCGACACGAATGGTGGCGTAATTGTCGACAACGTCTTTGCTGACAAAGAGTGGCTTTCCCGTCTCTGCAGCGCGAATGCGGTACATGGAGAAACAACCGGGCAAACAAGTGACACTGCCAAACAAGCTCTCAAAGGCCTTGGCCAGATTGTGGGAAATAAAGTATTCGTACACTTGAATCATGGTAATGTACGATGACTTGGCATTGGTCAGAGCCGTTTCACCACAGCAGGCGATCAATCTCGTATCATCCAAAAAGGCGGCAACGAAGCGAGTGGCAGAGTCGGGTGCGACGACAGTGTCGGCATCAATCTGCAACATGAATTCGTAAAATGTCGGATTGACCCCGATTATGTTGCGAATCTGGTGGTAGATTTCGAGTTCCAGAGGGCTCATGGCGAGATTGTAGTGGACGCGGTTGAGGAAGCGCATGATAATCATTTGCGAATCACGCTTGCCACGGTTACCCGGGCGCGATACCTCGGACGGCTTTCCAACCTTGACAACAACCAGGAACGGAACAATGTGACCTTGGACTTCGTACAGACCGGAGTAGACCTTGCCCATGTTGTGCTGCTTGAGACCCTCGCCAAGGGATTCAAAGCTGAGGGGCTCTGGATCGACAGTCTCGGAAACGCCTAGAATGTCGAGAACGATGCGAGGCGTGGGCCTATCGTTGCCTTGTCCAATAATCATACCATCACAGACAACAACGAGCAGCTTGCGCTTGTCATCATAGTGCATGCGTGCAGCCGAGTCAATGGCACGGCGAAGAGAATCTTCGTCTTCCGTATAGGCCGGAATCTGACACATGATGAACTTGTCGAGGTTTTCTGGCACATTCTTGCCGCCAAAATGGAGAGCAGCAAAGAATTTGAAACCAATGATGCAGCAGAGAACAATGGAAATGGCCAAGACCAAGTATTCGGCGAATTGGCAACGGGTCGAATTTCTCGTGTCGACATCTCCAACATAGAACAAATTGTCCAGACAAAGCTGTTGACGTTTGCGCGTGTCCGTGTCCAGGTCCAGTGCATCCCAAAGCTTGGTGAGATCGCTACCCGACTTCATTTGAAAGAGAGAGACGACGAGATCATCCATGAAAC